AACTAGAGAAAGCCTGCACGCAGCAACGAAGACCCAACACAGCCAAAAATAAAAAATAAATAAGAATTTTAAAAATATATATAAAAAAAAGAAAGGAAAAAGAAAGCACAGCAGGAGTTTTGAGAGGTTGGGTGAATTGAATTAAGGATCATTATTGAGTGTACAGAACCCTATAGAGAAACCGTATGATTATTATAAAATTCAGATTGGTGGCACTGTAAGAAGGAAAATGATGGTGAGGGTGAGAAAACGTTTGCGCATTTAGTCTCCATGTCAGTCCCCGCAGGATGGGGGTTGTGTCTTAGTCTTTCGTAGCCTCCATATCTGGCATAATTCCTGACAAGTAAAAGGTGTTAATAAGTACTTGAAGAAAGAGCAAGGAATACTTCTTCCCAGAGGACCAAGCCTTTTGGACATGAATGTAGATAAATCTTGATTTGTGACTTTACAAATAACTTGAAAATTTAAAAATATTATCTTGAGTTGAAAAGCAGTAAGTTAAAAAATAGTTTCACTAAAAAGCCTCTGTTTTGTAATTTACCTGACATGTTTCTCTGCTTACTGTTCTTTGTGTTTTAATTTGTTGCCTGCTCAAAAAATGTATTAAATTGTAATTGGACATTGAATTAAAAATTTTTTAAATTGACCTCATTTTTCTTGAACCCACCACTAAGATGTTCTGTGTCTAGTTGTGTTGTGTCAGTTGGCTGGTTTCTGCCTCGTGGCTTCAGCATTCTTGTTCCTAAATGAAGTAAAAAGAATCAAGTGCCCCATGGCAGGTCTTCAGTCTTGTTAATTGAGAATTCAAGGGAACAGTTTAAGACATATCCTCTGTGTGATGGTCCTACTGATTGGGTAACTATGTTCCAGTCAACCAGAGATCAAATAACTAGACTTGGGTGTGTGTGTACATTCCTCAAGATATTTTTATGAGAAAGGGATAAGTGAAAGATAAGCAAACCGATATGAGGGATTTACTTTTAAAGGAGAGAGAGAGAGAGAGGAACCAGCTTGGTCAACCTTACCTTCTACATCAGGGTCAGCAATTTACCAAAAATACACCAAAGGGAAGATTGCCAACCCGTTTTCATCAGTTGAATTCTCCAGAGTGGTAGTCCATATTCATTATGATCCTGACATGCTAGGGAAAGAAAGATTGAATTAAATTCAGTAGAATTGCTGGAATTATATTTCAATGTTCCACATATTCATTCATTCCATAAATGTGAGCAAAACCACTAGATAATCAGAAAGACTATTCTCTAGTCATTCTGAATCATCAGGATTGTTCTGCTGGGTCTTTTAGAGAGTTCAGTGCCCTCCGTCCCCATCAAAAAACCCCGCTGAATCCTCTTTCCCCATCCCAGCAGAAGCTCTAGTTCATGATGAGACATGCTTCAGAGTGTTTGAATTGGTTTATGGAGAGAATTATCTGCAGGGAGGCGACCCAATGGTACTGTGAAAGAGAGAAGGAATAATCTGTTTAGGAAGTCATTCTTTAAATTGTCATTTTGGCAGGGTAGCTCAGAGGGTAGAGAACTGGACTGAGGTCAGCAGTCTTGGGTTCCAGGCCTTTATTATTACAATGCTGTGTGACTCTGGGCTTCAGTTTCTTCATCATGAAATGAAGAGTCCAACAAGGTGACTGTGGCATGGAGGATCGTGCCTTCTATTAGTGTATAGGATAAAGGATGCTGATAAAATCATATTAAGATAAGTTTACAAATTCTAAAGACTTACGATTCTTTATAGAGATGAAAACAAAATCCTGGGGATTCTAAGGGGACTCTTCTGGGACACCAGTCCTGGGGTGGATTTTTTCCCCCAAATCAGGTGTTCCTTGTACTCAGGGATTCTGGTGAGAGGTCTCCTTCCTAAACTAGATCAGCTGTAAACCGTGTCCTTCCTGAAGGCTATAATAACCTGGAGTTTGCATAAGGGACTCCGAGCTATAAACCTGGCATAGGGTCCTACACCAGCAGTAACATTCTTACTGCTCTGCCCAGAGGGTTCTCTATTTGTAGCCCCCTGAGCTCTGTGAGGCCCACCCATCTCAAAAGGCAACCTCAGGGCCTCTCAAAGAGAAGTCTTTCATAGGGCTGTTGACGGCTTGAAAACTGAACCCTGGTCCTGACTGACGCCATCATTTGCATGATAATCATGACCAATTTGGAGGAGTTAAGAAAGCCTCAACTCCAGGTGCTCTTCACTTTCTTTTTTTTTTTTTGCGGTACGAGGCCCTCTCACTCCGGACGCGCAGGCTCAACGGCCATGGCTCACGGGCCCAGCCGCTCCGCGGCATGTGGGATCCTCCCGGACCGGAGCACGAACCTGTGTCCCCTGCATTGGCAGGCGGACTCTCGACCACTGCGCCACCAGGGAAGCCCGCTCTTCACTTTTGAAACCAGTCACTGTCAGGCAGGTAATGCCTCTTGTTATCTTTTGGTAACTTTAGGTACCTAGAGTTGTTCTAGAGGACGAGAATCTTAAAGATGTGTTTTCTGAATTGTTTCTCTAATCTGATTAGATTTAAAGGCACTAAGGACTGTATTTCTTGTAGTAAAGAGGATGCTGACAGTCCATGGTATGTTGTGGCAGCAGAGATACACAAAATAAGATCACTGATCACTGGATACTCCCAAATAAATACTTGTAAAAGGCAAGTTTCTTCAAAGGAAATCCACTGCTGCTCTTAAAGGGAAGAGTTGTCCTCCCCCACCCCAACCCCTTTCCTGGTAAGACAAAGACTTAATGCTACCCTGAAGAATTTGGCTTTGGAAACAGCCGGTTTCACTTTGCTGAAAGGCCTGAGGCTGGGAGCAGCAGCCTGGAGGCGGTACATCTTGTGTTACTTGGCTAGGAGAAATCCCTTGAGGCAACATGAAATGGTGTCTCTTTGGGTCATTTGCTTTTCTCCTGTCTCTCCATCCTATTTTTAAGAGTCAGTAGAAGACTGACAACACCACAACAATAGTGATCACTCACATGGCCCTTGCTATGTGCCAGGCACATAGCTCTTAGGCCGTAGACAGATTCATGTTTTTAATTTTTACGACAACCTTATGAGGTAGGTATTATTATTAATCCCACTTTACAGTTGGGGAAATGGAGGCAAAGTCAAATAGCTACCAAGTAGGGACGCAGGATTTGAACCCAGGAAGTCTGGCTCCAGAGTCCAGGATCATAGCGAACTTGGGTGGTGAACAGGTCTGGATTGAATCCTGGCCATGCCCCTCAATGGTGATAGGATCTTGGATTGGACCCTAAAACTCTTCCAGCCTCTGCCTCTGCATTTTAACATGGGAATAGTAACCGCTCCTGCCTGATAGAATTGCTGTGAGATTGAAATGGATTGATAAACATTTGGTCCAGGGCCTGGCACATCCTAAGGGCTCAATAAATGGGCTTCCCATCCTCTGAGATGCCAATGTGCAGTCATTGCAAATAATATTTTTTCCCAGTTAATAGCTTGTCTTTTCATCCTCTTTGATGAAGTGTAATTTATAGATTTTTTTTCTTTTATGAATTGTGCTTTTGGTGTCATGTCTTAGAACACTTCGTGAAGACCTAGATCCTACAGATTTTTTCCTAAAATTTTTATAGTTATGAATTACTTTTTGAAAGTGCATTTTTTCCTAAATATAAAAGAAAGACATGCCTATTTTAGACCATTTGGAATATAAGGAAAAACTCAATGAGGAAAGTTAAAATCACTAGTAAAACCGAAATCCAGAAATACATTTGGTATTAGATGCAAGCACTTGTAACTTTAATAAAAATGTCACCTCTTTTATCATGGGGAAACGGAACCCTCCAACAGTAAACTGCACTATCAAGTACCAACCAGAGTGCTGATGGAAGGTGCCTCTCTTCACGCCAAGATCAGCTGGGGGAGTTGCCATTCAGAAAAGACTAAGAACTACTGACCCAAACAGTGAAACTCATGTTTATGAACTGCAGCTGTTAGTCACAGGCTGTAATTGCCCCACCAGATAAAGAAGCTATTTAAGAGAGCAGGTTGCTATAAGCTGAACAGAAACAGAAAATAGTCTTTTTGGAAATCACAGGATTGTAACTAAGGGGAACGTCAGGTTCGAGGCTGGAATGGGTCTTTGTGTATTTGCTGGCTTGGAGATGGACAGGCTGATCTGGCATGAAGACGGTCCAGCCCTGGCTGCTCTTCTGTTTTGTTGGAGAGAAATCAGTTGAGGATCCCTTTTTCAAGTCCTGCCATGTGACGGCTTCCATGGCTAGAATCCTTTCAGCCTACCCATTTCTGATTCCTGGGCACCTGGAATTCTGCCTCTTGTACCACCCCCCTCACCTGCCTGACTTGTCAGGTCAGTTGGTAACAGCTGTGATCAGAGCAGCGGCCTCCATTAGTACTCCCTCTCCACCCGTGTCCCCCCCACTACACAGAAGGCGTGAGCTAGTCTTAAAACACAGCATTAGCTATTTCAGAGGCACCCCTCCCTACCCTTCACTGCCAACCTCATGAGAAGCTGATACTTTTTAAAATTTTTATTTATTTATGTATTTATTTATAATTGAAGTATAGTTGATTGAAGCTGATACTTTTTGAAAGGGTATTTTGAGTGAAAGAGGTGAAACTTGCTATTTAAATTGTTTAGTGAAGTTAAGAAACAATCCTGAAGTTGATTTGGTCAGTCTAGATTTTCATAGATCAAGTTTGCACCCAGTGGAACCTTGCGTGAAGTACTTGACTACATACTTGCAAAGGAAATCTTATTTCTTAATTAGCAAGTAAGTATCTCTGCTGTTTGTTGAATTTTGAGGAATCAGGTAAAACCCCAGGATGGTGACAGACACAAAAAATTTCATAAAAAGCTTAGATTAAAAGATAATTATGTGGTGAAAATTGCAACCTAAATGCTCATCAAAAGAGAATTGGTTAAATTATGATACATCCATTCAGAAGCTCGACATTTATTGCCATAGAAAGGTGCCTACCTATATCGAGTTTAAAAAACCAGTTATAGATCCTTTTGTAGTTCCTGAGCGTGATGACTGGGTGTTCATGAGGTTGTGTGACATGTGCCTCCCTCAAACCTTGTTATGACACCGGCATGTTACCCGTCTGACACAAAAAAAGAGAAAAGAAAAATAGAAAAGAAGAAAAGGGGAAAAAAAGAAAGAAAAGAAAAAAAAAAGTTGGTTATAAATTAACGAGTAGAATTTGATCCTATTTTTAAAAGTCATTGGGAAAGAAATACAGTAGTCCCCCTTAATCCATGGGGATATGTTCCAAGACTCCCAACTGGTTGCCTGAAACCATGGATAGTATTGGACCCTATGTATACTATGTTTTTTCCTGTACATACATACCTGTGGTAAAGTTTAATTTGGCACAATAAGATATTAACGACAATAACTAACAACAAAATAGAATAATTATAACAATATACTGTAATAAAAGTTATGTGAATATGGCCTCTCTCTCTCAAAATATCTCACTGTACAAATTTAATGCTTTTTCTATCTTAACTCAGCACTTATCACTCACTGTGGCCGTAAGTTTTTCAGTTTGAGGTGCAACAGCAAAACTAGCACAAATTTCTTTTTCTTTCTTCACAATTTCCTGGATAGAAGATTTGTTCTTACTGTAGATCTTAGCAACCTCAGCACATGATTCTTTTTCTTTACAAATTAAGTCGAGAACTTTCACCTTTTGACTTAAAGGAAGCACTTTATGGCTATGCTCTGGCATATCCGGATTGCCAGCATCTCTACTCTAATGAGCTTTGGGGGCCTTATTAAGTAAAATAAGGGTTCTGGAACATAGGCATTCTGTGATACCTGACAGTTGAACTGATGACCAAGACAGCTAGTGACTAAGGGGCAGGAGTCGATGGACAAAGAGATGATTCACCTCCAGGGCGCATCAGAGCTCCGCAAACAATTTCATTAGGCTACTCAGAATTTAAAACGTATGAATTGTATATTTCTGGAATTTTCCATTAATATTTTTGGTGTGTGGTTGACCATGGGTAACTGAAACCGTGGAAAGTGAAACCTTGAATAAGGGGGACTTTTGTATACCAAGAGAATGTTAGTGGTAATCTCTGGGTCATTCAGTTATGACAAATTATCTTTTATTTTTTCCTGAGTTTTCCAAATATCGAGCTTTTATTGCCTTAGTAATCAGAAAAAAAAAAAAAAGAAAAAACTAATTCCTAGCAATGGTCACAAAGTGTCATGTTAAACATGTTAAACATGTTAAACAGAACTGTGTATGTAGTTTACAATTTTATTTAAGTTTTATAAATTATAAAAACTCATAGTTAAAAAATATTCAAAAGGGATAAGGAGTATAAGATAAAAAGTAAAAATCTTCTCCTTTGTGAATCCTCAGAACCCCCTCCACATGTAACCAGTGACAACAAAAAAATATATTTAAAGGAGAAATTGAATCGACAGAGCTGATCTGAAATACGGAAGCTAACGTGAGGGGGCATCAGACAACTTTGAAGAGAAGTGAACGAGATTCACTGGCCTGCTGCTGGCCACCCCCTAGCCCACTCTCAGAACATTTCCTCATAATTACATTGCCCTTCACATAAGGGAAATCACCCTCTTTACACTCTGAACACATGGGTTCCTACGGACACTGACACCCAGCCAGGCATGCGAATTAGCATGGGCTCTAAAACCCAAATGAATCAAGTCAAGTTTGAATTTCATAGCACATTGGGCAGTGAGTCACCTAAGAAGCAGACACCGCTCCTGGGTATATGGAAGGCTCTCTCCTCTCTCCCATACCTCCCTTTCCCAAATTTGCTTATTTAATAGTTTAATAGTTGATGCCTTCTCATCCCCCATGCTTTAGCTTAAATATCACTTACTCAGAGAAGAGACAAATAGGCTTGGCTAAATTGGTATAGCTCCCTCCTTTATCCTCTATCACCATCCCTGATTGTATCCTTGGGAGCACCTATTACCATCTGTAATTTTTTATTTATGCCTAACCCCTGCCTCCCCCTTCTCCCCAGGTTGTAAACTACACAAGGGCACAGACCCTGTGTGTGTGTGTGTGTGTGTGTGTGTGTGTTTTAAAAGCTGGCTTTGTTTAGTCAGCTTTTAGCTTATAATAGGCATTTAATAAATACAGTGTTAATAAGATGGAAAATTTTACAAGTTCATTTTTGAGCTGGAACTCTAATTTTATAAATGTTTTACATAATGGCTGACCCTTGAATGGTAGGTCCATTCACTTCTTCATTCTGTCAATCAATAGATTTTTATTAAGAGCTTAGTATTTGCCAGATCTTGTGCTAGGTGCTGGGGTTAGAGGTGCCTAGCAAGGGAGACAAATATGATTTAGGCAAATATGATCTAGGGAGACACGAGCTATGATATGGGTAGTAGAGGGTTTTAGGGAAGCATTGAGTTATCAATTCCCTGAGCTTTATGAGAACCACAGCTGATTTTTTTCTCCACCCAAGTCACCTTGTGACATCCATTCAAGCCCAACAACTTCATACCCAAAATGTTGATTGGGGTTATCTGTGTATCTGTAAGTTTGTACAGAAAAGATTATAATCAACTTTTTAAACAGAGACTAAACAGTGTAAGCGAGTGACACCATAATAAATGGTGGGATAGTTTTAAAAACTATCTTTACAAAGTAGGGTTTTACAACGTGCATTCTCCTTCTCTTTACTCCATCCTTTCCTCCCTCCCTCCTTCCTACTTTCTCTCTCACACACAGTTCAGACACAAGACATGGAGAAGCAAATGTTTTCTAACTCGATGACTTCAGCGGATTAGCGCTCCTTTGAAAGTGATATTGTTACAGCCATAACGTGTTTATGTGTAACACAGACATCTTTATGTATAATGCAGACGTGTCTGTGTGGGGAACATTAACATCCTGGCCTTGTCATTTAGTGAGGTAGGAAGTTCAGCCTAGAACTCGAGATCCCCAAAGCCTTGGGAAATCTTGATACGGGAGGAGGGAGCAGGAGAGAAGAAGGGAGATTATTTTAAGGGTTATTTCTCTTTTTTTTCTAACCCTCCTGGGCTTAACTCCTACTCTCAGAGAAACAATCCTTTTCCGTCACAGCTGGGATGGTTGTCAGGCAGAGTGTCAGGCAAAGGTATCCTTTCCTTGCTGAGGATAGCAGTCATCCAGAAAAGACTCAGGCAATTAGAAGATGCTGGTAAATCACAGAGACACCACAGTGAGAGTTCCATTTTCTAATAAGCTGATGGCAAAATATTTATTTCAGACCCTGACACTCCAACTCCAAAGAAACAAATTAGAAGTATTTTCTCAATAACTTTCTTTATATACCAAACTGTATCCTAGAAGTTAACTTTTTTTAACTCTTTATTATTCTTTATAAATTATGGAAGTTACTGAGGCTTACTGTAACAAAATCAAACAATACAAAAGTATATCAAGTAAAAAGTTAAAGCCTAGTTCTCTCCTCTATCCCACTCCCCAAAGCAGCACTGTCCAATATAAAATAAATGTGAGCCACATATACAATTAAAAATTTTTTAGTAGCCACTTTAAAAAAGTAAAAAGGAACAGGTGAAATTAATTTTAATTATACATTTTATTTAACCTAATGTACCCCAAATGCTGTTACTTCAACATGTAATCAACATTATCAAATTATTCATGAGTTACAAAATTATTATTGAGATATTTTCCATTATTTTTTGTACCAAGTCTTCTAAATCTGGTATCTGTTCTCCACTTACAACATCTCTCAATTTGGATGCTAAATTTTCATTGAAAAACCTTGATCTATATTGAGATTCCTAAAACATAAAGTTGAAAAAGTAGACTCATATCCAAGTTGCTGCAAGCGTACTTAAAATTTTTCCAATAACTGAATGAAGTACCGGTTTTTAAGTTAAATATGAAGTAATTAAAATTAAATAAATTTTAAAAATCTGATTCCTCAGTTGCACCACATTTCAAGTACCCAGTAGCCACATGTGGCTAGTGACTACCATATTGGACCGTGCAGCTCTAGAGGGAACCGCTAATGTAAGTTTGGCGTGGAAACTTCTTGACCTTTTCTCTATGCACATATATATACAAATGTATAATTAAACAATATATGTATATTACACATATCTGGGTTTCATTTCAGAAAAATCATGCTACATATTTTACTCAATCTAATTTTTTTCAGTTAAAATTATATTTTGGATATTTTTCCTTTTCAGGACGTATGGATCTGCATTTTTTTATAACAGTTGTGTAGTAGATTTATTTAACCACTTCCCTACTAATGGGCACGTAAGTTGTTTCTGATGTTTTGCAGTTATAAACATCCATGTTTTCATCTTTATGCTAGTATTTCCAGAGGATAAATCCTAAGAATTGATTCTTCTGGGCCAAAGGGTATACATCAAAAAATGTGAAAGCTAATGCTGAATTACCCTCCCAAATGGTTAGGCTAAATTTTAGCCTACACTCTTTGCTGGCATTCCTTGCCAGCATCTGTAAATGCTCCAGGTGCCAGAATCATAAAACATCAGAAAGAAAAGATATTAGGGGTCATCTAGTCCAGTCCCTTTATTTTATGGACCAGGAAGTTCAAACCAAAGCTGCGGGAAGAGTCCACGTAGCTTACTTGTGGCCAGGCTGGGACCTGAGAAGCTCCCGGGTTCTTGCCCGCTGTCCCAGTGAGCACGGAGCAGCCTGGCTGTGCCTTTCCAAGCATCCTCAGGGAGGTCATCCTTCCTCCCGCTCCCTGCACTGTATCATTATCAAACCTGCGCAGTTGAAATCAGCAGGCCTTTCAATGGAGCATCACATCGCGGCTCAGTAAACAAAGAGCAGAAGCTAAGGCGTCCTTTCCTTGACATTTGTATCCAAAATTGGATTCGGTCTGCTCAAGTGCTCGCTACAGTTTCAAGTGTGCCTTTCCCACCTCCCTTCTGCTGAGCACAGCCAAGTCTTAGATTCAGGCAGGAGGAAAAAAAAGGGGTGGGCGTGTTTTGTTTCATGCAGAAATAAACTCCACAGGTCAGCAGTTCCTGGCCCACCAGCTCAGAAACATTCCATCTTTAATGGGAGTCACTTTGGGAGGGCAAAGGCAGAAGGGCGTGAAGGTCTTTTTG